GGTGGAGGAGCAGGGACGACGAAGACATCAGAGGAATGCTGTCTAGAAACCCTCTCTCCTAAGTACGCGATCGCTCCATAAGTCCCCAGGAAGTAGCGACGCTCAGCAAAATACTTTGCGGCTAACCGAGGGACTGTCCAGCCGCCCCACGGCCGGTATACCACATCAGGCCCCTACAAAGAACATCAATTAGGCAAGAGTATACCTAAAACATCGCGAAAAAGCAAATAAATAGTAAAAAGTCGTACCGTGATGAACCTGTTCCGGACATGTGTAGTAGACATATCCACATGGCGGCCGCCCCAAGAAACGCTCACTGGAAATCCGCGCGGCGATGGTTTCGCCGGCGCAGCAGAGGGGAAGTGCTCGTAGAACCAGATCTACAAGGAGTTAAAATTGTGAGTAAATGCTAACTAAAATGTAGAGCTAAAATTTATAGGGAATAATGTTTACCTCTACGACCTTCCAAAAGGCAGACAAAGCGACGTTCGTCCCAAAGGACCGGTGTCGACACGAGTCCCTCAGCGCAGGAACGAAGTCAGCGTAGGCCAAGCTTGCCCAGTCATAAGTCCCGATCCGATGAAGATCACGGACAGTAGGAAGATAGTAAAGCAACGCCCTACTACCTTTGTTAGGGGATAATGTCCCTGACAACAACACCAGCGCAAAGATGCGCACCCGCTGCTCTCGGGTGGTCACATCGTCATCAAAAGTCGCTGCCAGCGTCGAGCGGCGAATTCCTCTAGCACTAAACTGAGTCGTCTCGACCTCAGCTCGGGCCAAAATAGCGATCGGCCTCAACAACTCCTCGACCTCCGAAGAAAAGACGTCAATCCCACAGTCGAACGACAGTGGCATAGAGTTGAACTCCAGTCCTGTAATGAGACTAAAGTCCGCAGGGGTGACCATCATCTCGCCCCAGGGGAAATGGAAAGTGTTGGTGGTGTCCCAGAAGAACTCCCCTAAAGCGCGCACTAAATGGTGACCCCCGCTGGAGGAAACCATAGCCTCGGAGGTCTCGAACAGGATATTCAATCCACAAGACTCCAATAGGAGTCTCGTCTCAAGATCCCCGGCGATGTACATCTTGTACAAATCGCCCAAACCATCACAGCTGGAATCGTAATAACGCGTCCTCCCGATTGTGATGCCCCGTCTCACCCTCTCAGAATTGTGGTGGACGGGGGAAAAGAACAGGGTCTGCTCATCTCACTCAGGGAGTTGACCAAGCGAAGTGAAAGGTGTGACGTCATCCTCTACGGGCTCATGCTCCCGTCGGGTGTTTCGGGACCGTGAACCCGAGCCTTGCTGTCTAGCCATACTACATCGTGCAAAAACATCATAAATTAAGGTTCTATATTATCTAAGGTTTGCCTAGCCGCATGATACTATGTTCGCAAAAAACAGAGTACGTAGTACTAAAACAGAGCACAAATTCAAATTGAGCATATACGACATTTTTCAAGCAATCACACAATTTCTTGCAACACTATAGTCATTATTGTGACAAATTGGACAAGAATTACTAGCAAAAACATCAACAACAAGTCACATTGTTCTTCACGACCTTAAGAGGTTCAACAATGGCAAATTTCTCATTTCTTCACCAAATTGAGCAAAACAAGTCTTAAATTACTCCCAAGGCAATATATAAACATAATCAAGCAATTTAATGGCATAAAACTTGATAAACAAAGCAAATTAAGCATTATAAATTTCAATTTACATGAAATTCGTGAACAAACATGCCAAAAAATCATAAAACCTGATGTGAGTTTGAAGAAAACTTACATATATCGGTAAAATAGATGAGAAGAGCTTTAATTTCCAACAAATTTGAGTGAATTCGGTTGAGGAACGAGCAAGAGCCAAGCAATTGAAGTTTCTGGTTTTTTTCGAGCAGTTTCGTGACGAGCAAACAGCGAAATGAAGAGGAAAGGGGTATTTAAGGAAATCCCCATGCTGGCGCCAGGCCCTAAGAATTGGCAACAAAAATTAGGCTTTGCGCCTGGCGCCAATCTCAGCGCCTGGCGCTAAGGCTAATTGTGTAGCGCTGATGGTTTTTCAGTGGCGCCAGAACACCCAACCAATTGGTGAGGTTGTTCTACCTTTCTGCAACATATTTTTGGGTTCCTTGGTACGCCAGTTAGCCCCCCTAAGCAATTTGACATGATTTAGTAATCGGCTTGATTACGTAAAGTGATCGACCTGATGAAAGATCGTCTCACTTAGCTTAAAGCGCCTAAGCATTGGCTCACTAACAAAAAGCATCGACATATAGGTTTAAACGCACCGACATACAGGTTCATTCGCAAAAAGCACCGACGTAGAGGTTCAAAGCAACAGAAGCGCCGACATATGAGGAAGACTTCAAGTGAGGATATCTTCGACGGCATTCCCAAGCTTGCGGAGAGTTGTCACAAACAACTTGAGGCAATTTCAGGCGATGTTGTCTTCGATCATGTTCCCTTAGGCATGGAAGATGGTCATAATGCGGATGAGGATTGTTTCGAGAAAAGTAATCATCGATAGTATTCCCTTGGACGTGGAATATTATCAATGCAGATGAGGATTGTTTCGAGAGAAATAATCTTCGATGATATTGCCTTGGACGTGGAATATTATCATAGCGAAGGAGGATCGTTTCAGGCGAAGCAATCTTCTATATTGGAAGCAGTTACGGGCGTAGCGGTTTTCAAGCAGGATGGCATTCTCTAGCTTGCAGGAGGTCATCAAAAAAGAAAAGCGACAAATCGGTTACTTTCAGAGACGTGTGCTTGACGGTGCAAGATACGCGTTTCTAAACTCTTTTATCTGTTTCACTAACGCTAGTTTTGCAGGTATCGCCGTTACAAGAGTGATTTAGGATCGCCGAACGTTCTGAATCATTCTCCGTCCCTATCGATACTTTGACTTTTGTTTTCGAAACTTGCGTTTCTCCAAACTCAGTCAAAGTAGGGGCTTCTATAGACACCCATTCGTTTCTCCCCAAAACCAAACCCGGTGATGAGTACCTTTCGCGTCGAATCATAATCGAATGAAGCGAAAGTGTGGAAGGTCTAGTGTTGTGGATAGTTTTAATTTCTTTTCTCTTCTCTCTGTTTTTGAAAACTTATTTTTAAAAAACAGCCAATACAGTTTAGTTGGTCCATGATATGGGTCCAATAATAGTGTAGTTGGATGGGGTTTGCAAAGAGCTTTCCAACGATATATTATAAGCCCAATTCCAATGAATATTGAGGAAGTTATGGCGAATTTACTAAACTGGGCCTGTTTTGAGCCTTATATGCGGCCCAATGATCTAGGGGAGGGCCTAATATGATTTATCATTCATAATGCAATTAGGAATGGTTTTAGTCTTCTAGAATCTTCTAGAAGGTTCTTTTCATTCCTTACACTAGTAGAAAAAGGCTTATTTGCGTCGCTCATTAATAGTGTATTTGCGTCGCTTCTATGAGCGACGCAACTGCTCGCGACCCAAATGACTTTTGAGTCATTTGCGTCGCTCCTAGGCGCGACGCAAATAAGAGTCATTTGCGTCGCTCCTAGGCGCGACACAAATAAGAGTCATTTGCGTCGCTCCTTTATAAAGGAGCGACGCAAATGACTCTTTTGATAAACTTATTTTTTGTCATTTGCGTTGCTCCTTTATAAATAAGCGACGCAAATGACTTTTCTGATAAACTTATTTTTTGTGATTTGCGTCACTCTGATTAACTTATTTTTTGTTATTTGCGTCACTCCTTTATAAAAGAGCGACGCAAATAACTTTTCTGATAAACTTATTTTTAGTCATTTGCGCCGCTCCTTTATAAACAAGCGACGCAAATGACTCTTAAGATATACTTTTTTTGTTATTTGCGTCGCTCCTTTATAAACAAGCGACGCAAATGACTCTTCCAATTAACTTATTTTTTGTTATTTGCGTCACTTGTTTATATAGGAGTGACGCAAATGACTTAGTAGACAATACAAAACTTTTGTATTTGCGTCACTTGTTTGTTTAATGAGTGACGCAAATGAGGTGAATTTTTTTTTAATTATAATATAATAATTGCCTTGTATATGTTTGTAGTACCTGTTTTCCTAGGTATAAAGTAATATGCTAACGCTAATATAATTGAAATTAAAATGCAATATTATTGAATAATGCAAATGTAAATTTCGGCAGAGTCTCCTTTGTAATTTGGCCTACCCATAAAATTGGGAATGACGACATTATATTAACAACCTGTCCAATAATTTACATCTCAATATCATAGACATTATACTCATCATCCCAACACCAATTAACCAAATTACTTCATTTCAAGCCTATAATCCATAACAATAATAAGCAATTTATGCAATTACTAACACATATTGGAAAAAAAAAATCATAGAATTCATACCTACTTCACTCTTCTCTTTTGCGACATAAAATCCTTCATTATGATCTTTTCGTTTCAACGTTGTGTCAAAATCATCGACTATTGGAGGGATGCTCCAAACGGAAGGTGGTGACTCATTAAATTGCTCATCATATTCTTCCTCGTCCACCACATCTTCAATGCCAAGTATCCTTCTTTTACCTTCTAAAACAACTGACCACATACAATCAGCTGGGTCAGCCATGTAAAAAACTTGTTTTGCTTGTGAAGCTAAGATAAATGGATCAGCTAGATGCCCTCGTCGACCAAGATTTACAAGGGTCAAGTTCCCTTGTTCATCTTTTTTTACACCACGGCTACTATCAGCCCACTTACATCGAAATAGAGGAATCTTGAAATCAACATAATCCAGCTCTATTATTTCTTCAATGATTCCATAATAAAATTTCTTCTTATCCACAAGTGTTTTATCATGTGCACTAACATACTCAGATGACAAACCTACTACTTTAACACCACTGTTTTGCATTGTTGACTTGTCATCTTGTCGGCTAGTGTAAAAAGAATACCCATTGATGTTGTATCCCTCATATGACATGACTTGACATTTAGCACCATATGCCAACCATCTCAATGTGTGGTGGATAGTTGGGACATCACTTGTTCCTTGAACCATGTAACGAATGAACAATTATGCTCCTTTATCAGCTGAAGATCACTTTTGGAAGGATATTTATTTTTAAGAAAAACCATGTGCTCGTCCAAGTAAGGATGAACCTCACTAAGATTTTGCAACACAAAAAGCTCTGCCTTATTTTTCATTTCAAAGCCCATGTATATCCTTTTCCTGCCAATAGTACCTTGACCTCCAAGCCTCCCATCGTGTCGAGACTTTGGCAACCCAATTTTCTGTGAACGTGCAAGATATTGAGCAACCCATGCTGCCACTTCCTCAGCAACTGTTCGTTGTACAATACTAGCTTCAGGTTTGGCCAAATTCATGACTTTTCCCTTTAAGTCACCCATTTCTCGTTCAAAAGGATACATGTATCTCATACACACTGGCCCACAAAGTTTAATTTCACGTACAAGATGAATAACCTAATGAGGCATCACGTCAAAAAAAGATGGGGGAAAATACATTTCAAATCGACACATTATCTCAAGTATATCTGCTTGCAAGTCATCAAAAATACTTGGATTTATGACCTTGCTACAGATAGTGTTAAAAAAGACACATAATCTTGTAACTGTATACCTCACTTGAGGTGGCAAAATTCCTCGAATGGCAACTGGTAATAATTGTTGCATCAAGACATGACAATCATGAGATTTCATGCCACCCAATTTCAAGTCAGACATTGACACAAGTCTACGAAAATTAGAAGAAAATCCAGCCGGGACCTTTAAACCATGCAATGACTCACAGAAGCTAGTTTTTTTCCTTTTTAGACAAGGTAAAGCAAGCTGGGGGAAGATACCAGCGTTTTCCTCGAGATTCGGGTGCCAACTCTGAACGACCCATAGCAGCCATGTCTTTTCTTACTTTAACTCCATCCTTTGTCTTTCCTGGCATGTTTAATAAAGTTCCCACTATGGCATCACATATATTTTTCTCAATATGCATTACATCTAGACAATGTCTAACTTCCAAATGTCTCCAATATGGAAGAGACCACAGCTTAGACTTCTTCTTGTAACCCCTAGTTGATTTGTTTTTGTAAGGCTTACCAAACTCATTCTCAATGTCTTTGACCCGCTGATAAACCTCACTTGCACGTAAAGGGGCACAAGATTCTCTCAACTCCACTTTTTCATTAAAAGCATCCTTATTGAATCGAAAAGGGTGGTCTTCTGGAAGATGTCTTCGATTATCCATGTATACATGCATGCCACAATTGTCTAGGCGCAATGCCTCCAAATCATCTTCGCAAATGGGGCAAGGAGTTCTTCCCTTCACAGTGTACCCCGACAAATTCCCATAAGTTGGGAAGTCATTTATCGTACAAAAAATCATGGCACGTAAAGTGAAATTGGTTTTACTATATGCATCAAACATTTGGACACCTTCATTCCATAACAATTTCAAATCTTCAATGAGAGGCGCTAGATACACATCAATGTCATTTCCAGGTTGTTTAGGCCCAGATATTAGAAGGGACAACATAATGTATCTAGACTTCATGCATAACCACGGAGGCAAACTGTAGATAGTTAGAAGAACTGGCCAGGTGCTATATTGGGTACTTAGTGTCCCAAATGGGTTCATTCCATCTTTACTAAGACCAAGCCTAAGATTTCGATCTTCTTCACCAAAGTCCTTGAACTTTCGATCAATGTTCCTCCATTGCGGGGAATCAGCAGGATGCCTCATTAACCCATCTTTCTTCCTCCCATCAGCATGCCACCTCAATAATTTTGCAGTTTTTTCATCCGAGAAGAGTCTCCTAAATCTCGGTATAATTGGAAGATACCATAATACCTTAGCCGGAGACCTTTTCTTACACATCTCACCAGTATCATTCATCTTGTAACGAGAAACTCCACACCTTGGACACTCATGCAAATCAGCATACTCATTTCGATACAACACACAGTCATTGGGACAAGCATGTATCTTCTCATACTCCATACCCAAGGGGCACATAAGTTCTTAGCCTCATAGATGGAGTTTGGAAGTTCATTCCGGTCGGGAAACATTTCTACTAAGGCTTCTAACAACTGCGTAAAACCCTTGTCGGTCCAACAATTGCTCGCCTTTAAGTTGAATAACTTCATAATAGCACCAAGTTTAGTGAACTTTGTACAACCAGGATATAACGGGGTTTCAGCAGCTCTCAAAATACTATCAAATGTCTGGGGACACTCTGTGAAATGGTCTTCAACATCATGCATCATTTCATCTATCCTGTCCTTCTCCACTTCACTCTCACTTTCAACACCAATATCATCAGCTGTATCGATATCCTCACCTTGGTGTTCATTATCATCATCACAATGATTCTCATCTTCCCTTGGATAATAACTAGAACTTGCCTCAATATATATGCTCTCACCATGCCATGTCCACCTCGTGTAGTTTTCTTTAAACCCACGACGAATTAGATGATCTTTAATATCAACTATATCACGATATCCCCTCGAATTATTAATGTCACGACAAGGACAAAGAATAATCTTTGATTTATTCTCTGTTTGGTGTTTTAAGGCAACAGTGCTAAACTCTTCAATTCCTCGTAAAAAACTTGTACAATTTCATTTACCATACATCCAACTTCGATCCATTTTCAACCACTGAATAACAAAATAAATTTTAAGATAATGTGTATATTTTGTAACATATATAGCTCCTTAACCATAAACAAGAATATAAGGCATCAAACATTTTCATTCAAAGTTTATATCATGTAAATGCAACTCCGGATGATCCAATAAGGTCCTTATCACTCCAACCTAACCCATTCTTGAATGTTCTATCTCACTAATAACTACTTGTAAATTTTGGTTCTAAAGAAAATCCGGCAGCATTTCCCTATAGTTCTCCAAGCACGCAATGTAGATAATCGGCTATCAACATATGTACCCAGAGAACAATTGGGAAATAGTGAGCCATGATCTTCTTAAACCCAAAACAATTCAAGTAGTTATCACCTAAATGAGATAGAACATTCAAGAACAGTCCCAAACCGGGGATTATTCAAGACTTACTCCTAATGAGTAAGCCCTGAATGGGTATCTAAGCCAATGATGCAAGTATTATTGCAATTCCAATAAATTATATCACAATTAAAAATCTCATACAATTCACAATCATTATACCAACCAGAACAAATAAGTTAATATTGCAAGGAATGGTTCAGATATATATACCACAAGTGAAGACAATCTCGTATGCGTACAACCGCCTTAATCGTTTGTCCACAACTAGAACCTCGAGCAACTTGTGGAATTCACTTCCGCATAATTAAGAATCTGCCATAAAAAATTACATATATTAAACCAACATAGTTGCGTGTGTGCTCGTGATCCTAAATCTCATAGAACAAGAGCGAGCACGAGAGAAATAGAGTTCAGGACATTACTGTAAGTGCCTAAGTAGAGGTACTTGTTCTCATAAACGCGCCCAATTCGTGCTTCCCATCACCCATTATGATGATGCCTATAAAAAAATTAAATGATAAAAAATAATTTTAATAAGACATTCAAAGAACCATAGATGTCACATGACCCATAAAATTAAAGAAAAAACAATGAATGTTCAAAGATGCAAACCAGCAGCTCAAAGATGCATCTGCAAACCAGTAGTATATTGCAAAACAGCAACTGTAAAAATCTACAGACTAAATGTAGAGAAAATGGGCAGTGAAAGTGATATTATATTATTATTGGAAAAGCAATTGGTGATCTATGATGAACCTGATGAGAAGGAAAAATGGATAAAACATTACAGCAACAGACATAAAATGGAGAGGTACAGGTAACTCACAAGACCGCTCATCTACTTGATCGATGGAATATCGAAGAGCTTGCTAGTGAAGCAGGCCCGTAGTTGGTTAAAAAAGTAAGCTTCTACCAGTGGGATCTTTATGGAGAGTTCAGAGTATAAACATGTAAGACTATTTATCAATAATCAATATTGTTTAGTATGGAAATATCTGACTGGTGGAATGTAGTCTTCCAAGTTGATCTCTGTGGAACTCTTTGTGTTGGTCAGTTTGTAAGATGGCTTCCTCCATTCTAGTGAATTGAAAGCCAAACACTTTCAGAAGATCAATTTTTCATGAATATGTTCTGCTTTCTTTGAATTCTTTCTTGCTAACCTTAGGATTCTCTTATAATCTTATTCATGGCCAAATGGACCTACTCTATGATAATTTATGTGATGGTTTTAATTTTCTAAAAATACTAGTAAAAAAAGTGAAAATTAGCTCAGCATGATACTAGATTTAAGCAGATATTATGACCTTCAGTATTTTCTTCTACTCCTACATTAAACCTTGTTCAACAATGACAACTTATTATAGTATAGTGCAGTAACTTATCAGTTATCACCATTTTTTTTTTGTGGTTGCAAACTATGAATTAGTAGTTGTGGGAATCAAAATTGCTGCCAATCAGCCAGAATACTCTTTCTTTCCATTTTCTCGTGGACCCAGTTGGCACTGAACTCATGTAGGGCAGCTGAATGTGCATTCTGATTATAGATGAAGGAATACTAATTCTTGTAATGGCAACTTCATATATCTGATCAGTTATCAATATTTTCACATGACCCATAAAACTAAAGAAAAAACAATGAATGTTCAAAGATGCAAACAAGCAACCAATAGTATATTGCAAAACAACAACTGTAAAAATCTACAGACTAAATGTACTAGCTGAAAACATGCAGGTGAATATATTAAACAAGTAGAATTGAGATGAGCCTCAATGAAAATTCAATGACTGAAATTATAAAAATTCAATTAAATCTGCCATATAATTTCTAATTATTGAACTAACACTAAACCTGAAATTAAACTACCATAAATAGAAGCAATCTTACCATAGGTGAAATTGATTTCAAAAATTCAACAATGTCTAGCCAAAATCGATTTTTGGGGGCGAAATTATGCGATTTTTCCACTCGAAAATTCAAAAATCATTGCTGTAATTTGCTTGAACTTCCTCGGGTTTTTGGGGGCGAAATTAAGCGATTTTTCCAACATGATTTTTAATTGAATTTTTTGGGGTTTCTAGGGTTCGAATTCGTATGGAATTGAGAAAATTTTTTGCTCGAAAATGGGGGATTTTTAATCGAAAATAATCAATTTTTCTGGGGTTGAAGGGTTTGAATTAATTAGGGTTTTTGGTCTAAATTTTTGCTCGAAATTGCTCGGATTTGCTGCCGATTATGGGTGTTGAACTTGATTGCGATTTTGGATGTTGAATTTGCTGGGGAATTGTAGTTTTTTGGGCGAATTTGTGGGTGAATTTTGGGCGAATTTGTTGGATTGAAGGGTCGAATTGCAGTTTTCTGTAGAAGCAATCAACTCTGCTTTTTTCTTTATGTATAGTGAATTAGTGAAAGATTGGCATGAAAAGCTAAGGTCAAAAAAGCGCAGAAATGAATAACCTAAAGTCCAACAGAGTTATTTGCGTCACTTTATAATAAAAATGCGACGCAAATAACAAAATCTGAAATGCTGAAAATTTGTTATTTGCGTTGCTCATTTACTAAAAGAGTGACGCAATTACTTCATTGCCTTATTTGTGTCGCTTGTCAATAAATGAGTGACGCAAATAATTTTAGTATTTGCGTCACTTCAAAAAATAAGAGCGACGCAAATGATAGAAAGCTAACATACACTTGACTTTTGCGTCGCTTCTTCAATAACAAGCGACGCAAATAACTTTAAAGGATCGTAAAAATACACATTTGCTTCGTTCTTTAGAATGAGTGACGCAAATATGGCGACGCAAATGAGCCTTTTTCTACTAGTGTTATATACTGGATTGTGAATACCCCATAGTTGGGGTGAATGGCTACTTATTGGTTCTTTGGACGGCTGTGTACCTGGTTTGGGGCAATAACTACTGTGATTGATTGACTTAGGAACATTTCATAATCTTTAAAGCATCAAACATTTCAAAGTCAATCAATTGAAGAAGTAATGAAACCAATCACACAACCGCTAGGGGCATGAGTAGTTGGTATACTAATTGCCGCATGCTGTAAAAAATTAGGCAAAAAATGCAAAATTTAAGTGCAAAAATTAAAACAAAATTAGAAAATTCATCAAGCCGACTCAGTCGACAAATTTCATTCAAAGTTGTCCAAACTAGATAATAATGTTAACCGGATAAACGTACAAAAATACTCGGCTTATAGGCCGGAAAGATAATATTGGCATACTGCCGCAGAACAAGGGGGCTGAATTAAGGCTGGTGGGACCTGGCCATCCTAGACTTGATCAATTTAAGCTTCATTAGCCTCGACCTGATTATCATTTTTGGCAAACGGCTTTTCCTCATCGTCGGAGACCTCAAAGCCTTGTTCAAGGGCCCATGCCTTAAAGGAGGGTGGAGCCTGCTCAATGAGCGCCTGAGCGTCATACACCTTAGTGGTGTATTGAGTTTTCATGTTAGGGAAATGTTTTATAATAAAGCATTCTTGACTCATGGTTTAGACAACCAAGCCCTTCAAATAAATTTGCAACTATTACTCTTTACTTATATGTGAGTCTCTCCATGTGTTAACGGATTGTTGATTGAGTATGGAACATAATTGTAGACATCCATTCGTGTCTCCCCAAAACCAAACCCGGTGATCAGTAGCTTTCGCGTCGAATCATAATCGAATGAAGCGAAAGTGTGGAAGGTCTAGTGTTGCGGATAGTTTTAATTTCTTTTCTCTTCTCTCTGTTTTTGAAAACTTATTTTAAGAAAACAACCAATCCAGTTTGGTTGGTCCATGATACGGGTCCAATAATAGTGTAGTTGGATGGGGTTTGCAAAGAGCTTTCCAACGATACATTATAAGCCCAA